CCAATCCACCGAGTGGTCCATCAAGATCGATGTGAAGCAGCTCCGTGCTGCCACCAAAACACCAACGTCGCTACAAGCAGCGAGCAAACAAAGCCCACCGACGTGATCGATCTCGAGGCCATGAAGCAGCATTTGCTTCACGAGCTCTAGAGCTTCCTGGTTATGCCCGTTCTGGGCATATCCAGTGAGCATCGCATTCCAGGAGACGGCATTTCGTTCGAGCATACCATCGAAGAGCCTCTTCGCCGCTGCTACGTCTCCGGCTTGCGAAAACGCCGCCACCATTGCGTTTGTCGAAACCAAACTCCTTTGCGGCATCTCATTGTAGATTTCCAACGCGTTTGAAAGTTGCCCAGACTGGGCAAATGCTGTGAGAAGTATGTTCCAGGACGCTGGATCTCTTTCCTTCATGCAATGGAATGCCTTGCTAGCGTCCTCCGTACAGCCCGCCTGCGCGTACGCTCCTACCAGCGTGTTCCCGCTCCGTACGTCCCTCTCCGGCGCGCTGTCAAAGAGAAACTTGGCCTCTTCGACGAGCCCGGCCTGCGATAAGGCGACGAGCATCGCGTTGCACGAGACGACGCTGATCTCCGGCATGGAATCGAATGTGAGCTTGGCGTCGCGGAGGTGCCCATTCTCGGCGTACGCTGCCACTGCCACCGTGCCCAGGACCACGTCCCAGCGAGGGAGCGATCGGAGGATCTCGCCCACTTGATCCACGAGCCCATGGCGTGAGTAAGCCGCGATGATCGCAGTGAAGGTCGCGAGATTGGGGCGATCCATCCGCGCGAGCAGTGCCTCTGCCTCGTCGAGGTTTCCCGAGAGAGCGTATGCCTGGATCATCGTGTTCCAGGAGACGTGATCCCTCTGCTGGGGATCCATTGATTCGAAGAACTCTCGGGCTCGATCTAGCGAGGGATCCATTGCGACGAGCACGCTCAGGATCGAGTTGCAAGAGACGGTGTCTTGCGCGGGCATCGAATCGAAGAAGCTCTTCGCTTGATCGAGATACCCGTTCTGCGCATAAGCTTGGAGCATTGTGTTCCACGACACTGGATCTCTCTCCTGGGATGAATCAAAGAGAGCTTTTGCTTTCTCCAAATGCCCAGCTTGGGCATATGTTGCAATCATTGCATTTCGCGACACAAGATTTGGACAGGGCATTTGGTGGAAGATCGCCTCTGCCTGATCGATCTGTCCTAATCTTGCGTGGAGTGCCAGCACAGAATTCCAAGAGACGCTGTCGTGCTCCGGCATGGATTGCAGCATTGCTTTGGCCTCCTCAAAATGCCCGTTCACGGCAAGAGCTTGGATCATCGCATTCCAGACGAACAGATTCCTGATGGGCGATCGATCAAAGAGTAGCTGCGCTTCGTGGAGATTACCGTCCTGCGCGTAGGCCGCGATCATTGCTGTGATCGCGACGAGGCTCCCGGCGCCCGCCATAGCCGCGCTATCGAGCAAGCTCCTCGCTTGTTCTAGATGCCCAGTTTGGGCATTTAGGGTGATCATGGTGTTCCACGAGACAGCGTTCCTGTACGGCATGGCGTCGAAGACGCGCTGGGCCTGGTCCTCCTGGCCATTGCTGCCGTACGCCTGGATGAGTATGTTATAGGAGAAGAGATTGGGCCGCGCGATGGCGTCAAAGGCGCGTTGGGCGTCGCTAGGGCAGCGGCATTTGCCATACATTTGGATTAGGAGGTTGGAGATGTAGAGATTTTGGCGCAGGGCGGCGCTACTCGCGATGATCCGCGCGTGGATCTTTCTCGCCGCGGCTAGATCGCCGCTCTCACCGCAGATCTTCACGGCGCTGGCTAGCTCCTCGATCGATGATGATTGCATAGGATCGCATCGCCGGGAGGTTTAGGGTTTATCGATCGGGGGCAAAATATGAGGAGATGAGGAGAGCCGCGTCTCGGCTGCGCGGAGTCGTGCTGCATTCGATCCATCGGGAGTTTACCAGCAGCGGCGTGAGGAATGCGAGAGACAAGGTCGGACCGTCTGGAGAGATCAGTAAGTTTGCAAGGAAGAAATTCGAGAAGCTGCGGCAGCAGCCGGTGGAGAGGCCCTATGTCGCTCCACAGCCGGCGGCGCCGCTCTCGCCTGTCAAGGTGGTGGAGATTTTCGAGGGCATGACGATGCGGGAGCTTGCATCTCGGCTCCAGCAGACAGAGAGCGCTGTGCAATCCATCTTGAGCGATCTTGGCGAGAGCTGTGAGTCCGGTGACGAGGCGCTGGCCTTCGATGCATCAGAGCTAGTTGCACTGGTACGTGATCTTTTCTTTCTTTCTCTAGTTCTTTTCTTGTGGTTCTTTTCGCAAGTCTTTGCTGCTTCTCTTTAGATGACTTTGCTGCTTGTCTTAGATGAAAAGATCTTTGTAGCTTCTTATTGTTGATTCACTGATCGTTACTTTTCCAGGAATTCGGAGCTCAAGTGAAAAGAGTTGACGCGGAAGTAAAGAAAGATGATCCTCAGAAGGAAGTGATACCACTGCGTCCTCCAGTGATCACTGTTATGGGGCACGTCGATCACGGGAAAACTTCGCTGCTCGATGCACTGCGCAAGTCATCTGTTGCTGCGGGTGAGGCCGGAGGAATCACGCAGCACCTCGGTGCTTTTGTCGTGAAAATGTCCTCGGGAGCATCCCTTACCTTTCTGGACACGCCGGGCCACGCGGCTTTCAGTGCAATGCGAGCTCGCGGGGCGGCAGTGACGGACATCGTCGTTCTCGTCGTTGCTGCCGACGATGGTGTCAAGCCTCAAACGCTAGAAGCGCTGTCTCACGCACAGGAGGCCAAGGTTCCGATAGTGGTGGCGATCAACAAGTGTGACAAGGAAGACGCGGATCCTGCCAGGGTGCGGCAGCAGCTTATCATGCACAGCGTCGAGCTTGAAGAGATTGGTGGCGACGTCCAGGTTGTCGAGGTCTCGGCTAAGCAGAGCACGGGACTTAACAAGCTAGAGGAAGCTCTACTGCTCATGTCAGAGATGATGGACCTCCGAGCCCGGACCGACGGCGATGCTCACGGGGTTGTCATCGAGGCAAGGCTTGATCGGGGCCAAGGGCCTTTGGCAACGGTGATAGTGCGATCGGGCACGTTGAAACAGGGAGCCATTGTCGTTGTTGGTCACCAGTGGGGGCGTGTGAGATGCTTGCGGGATATGGCAGGAGCTATTGTCAAGTCTGCTGGGCCTGCTACACCTGTTGAGGTATCAGGACTCCGGGGAGCTCCGCTAGCTGGGGACTCGCTCAACGTTTTGCAAAGCGAGGACAGGGCTAAGAAGCTGGCCGAGAAGAGGCAGCTGATTATGGAGCACGACAGATTGCAAAAGCGTAACTTAAAAGCTGCTGCTGCTACTCCTGCTACTCCGGCCGCCGAAGATGAAGGGACCGACCAAGCTCCGAAGGCAGTCAACATGCCGCTCGTTGTGAAAGCCGACGTGCAAGGGACCTTAGAAGCTGTTCTTGAAGCCCTCGAAAGCTTGAACAACGAACAGGTGAAGTCCTATATTTTACCTTCTTTCATCTGAGGTTGTCTGTAACCTTTTGTACCAGGTATCTGTGAGTATCGTGCATTCCGGAATTGGCCCCGTGTCGGAAGCAGATTTTCTTCTAGCCGAAGCATGTCAGGGCTGCTTAATTGCTTTCACCGTCAAGTGCTTGCCATCGGTAGAAGCAATGGCTCGTCGTGCTAAAATCCCGGTATGTTCTTTTTTATGCATTGACTTGAAACTACTATTCATGTTTTCATTTACAGCTTGTTCATCACCGTGTTATTTACCATTTGTTGGAAGAAGTTGGGAAGCTGATAATTGAGAGGGCTCCAGGAACTTCGGAGACCCGGATTGCCGGGCAGGCCGAAGTTCTCGCCATCTTTGAGATTAAAGGCAAAGGCAGGGCAGGGGTTGGAGCAGCCAAGATTGCAGGCTGCCGAGTCTTCGAGGGACGCCTGCTCAAGGGTCAGCGTGTCAAAGTCCTCCGGAGTGGCACGGAGCTGTTTGACGGGAAACTTTCGTCGCTCAAGAGGGAGAAGCTGGACGTGGACACGGTTGGGAAGGGGACGGAATGCGGGCTTATTGTCAACGAATGGATGGAATTCAGTGTCGGGGACGTTGTGCAGTGCATCGAAGAGTACAAGAGATTGCCGACGTTTGTTTCTTCGGATGGGAAAGCGAGGATCGAATGCTGAGGTTTTGCTAGAATGACACCAGAGTGGTTTTGGTAACTCCAATCTTGACAGAACCTTTTCAGGTACTGTATTCTTCTTCTCTTTTTTTTTCTTCTTCTTTCTTCTCTTCTTTGCGGTTAGCAATAAGAAGTGCTGTGCTCTTTAATAACCCCGTGCATTGCAGCTGGTTTGGTGTATACCTTGCTTCTTCTAGTGTCTTTGTCTACCTTTCCTTCGTAATCCGGCATTGCTCGAAGAGTCTTTGGCGTCGATATAAGCTGCTTGTTTCGTCCTAGGTAGAGCAACTAGAGCTATGGAAGACGACTATCGCTACTATCAGCTAGGATTGAGAGTCTTGGGATTTGCTCTTACTTCTGTGGCTTTTTCGTGTATGGGAGCAGCGCTTCCAGTGTCCCCGACATCTCTGACGAGCTATGCCTCTTTCAAGTAAGCAATCTTTGTGGAAGAGATCCTTTCTAACGAGTTTCCTTTGCAGCTTTTTGCTGGCTACCAATGTCCTTGCATGCCTCTACTCGGGAGCTCAGGTTGCCGTTTTAGCAGCGAACAGAAAGAAGCTCACAGATTTTTACAAAACCTCCAGCTTAATCCTCGATCAAGTAAGTCACTACATCTATAGTTTTCGTCAGGTCGCACGCATCCTCTCTTTGCAGATTTTCACTTGCTTGCTGCTTGCAAGCGCGTCGGCAGCTAGTGCCGCTTTCCAAGCGCTCGAACTGTGTAAGCAAGACCTGGCCACTTGCCTACGAGTAACATCGTCGGTGGTAGCGGGATTTGTGGCCTTTTCAGCACTCTACGCCTCCACAGTCGTATCGTTCCTCACCGCAAGGTAAATCCCGGCTTTTCCATATGTATATACATACATGCAATTGCTTACTACTTGTCATGTACAAAACAGGGCTATCGAGCTATCAAGTCGAGATCATCCTCCTCCTCCAGATCATGCTCATTCATCTGCTTGATCCTCTTGCCGTCTCGAGGGCCGGTTCGTCGCTTTTGCTTCCCGCTGCGATCCAAATAGAAGAAAGAAAGTTGAGAATAAGGTAAACAAGAAGTTCGCGTGCTCTACTTACGGCCCGTTTGCTGGCGTTCCCGCGATCTTGATCCGACTTTGGCCGCTTCCATCTAGTCTTCCCTCGGTGTCTCGTCCTAGAGCATTCTCTTCGGCCTTGGAAGAGACAACAAAAAGAAGAATGGCCGGGTATGGTGAAAAAAGTTGGCATTACTAGACACATAATTCTCTGGTTTTGGTGGTTTTTTTTTTCTTTCAACTTACAGCAGGGGAAGTGACCGAAGACAAAGAAAACAAACGATCCTCGGTGGAGAACTTGCGTGGTCTCTTCATGCTGAGAGAGAAAGAGAAAGAGATTCAAAGGTTACGTTAATCTTTGATTCGAGCAATGCTTCTTTTTTTTTTTTTTTTGGTTGCTTTGCTCGAGAGCAAACTTACTTTCCAGCTCCCTTGGCGGAGGAGAGAAATCCCTCGAATCCCTTGAGAACGTTGCCGCACTGGCTCGAGTCGTGCAGATAAGTGGTCTCGAGATCATACACCTGTAAATGATTCCGGAATATCCAGAGATGCCAAAGATATATTCCCTTTACACAAACCTGCTTCTCAACGTTTCGGAGCTCCTCGAGGAGCTTCTCCCGTTTGGAGACGCACAGGGCGAGATTGGCCTGTGGATTCAACTGCGCGGCCGCGCGCTGCTGCTGGCTCGCCGCCATATCTACCATTTTGGCCCGGGGGAAACAAAACCCTAGCGCTAGGGCTATGGGCAGATATTCCGTCAGCTTGACGGAATGTCTTTCCCGACATCTACTCCATACATTTTAAATATATATATTAGTTTTAATATTTTATGTATTAAATTGAGGAATCCAAAAACGAGGATTTGAAGAAACATCAGGTGGAGCAACAATATATTCGTTGCCAGCACAAAGTCCTGTTAAGTGCTTCCATGACAGAAAAAAGAAAGATTCTTATTCATAAGAACAAGCAAAGGTGGAAGAACGAAGAAGATAGACCGACTGTTTTTTTTTATTCTGGAGGGCTGAATGTTGTGGCAAACCTCAGGTCCTATTTGCTGCCGCACTTCCACTGAGTAGGCAGACCTCTTAGACAAAGCACGATTGGGAAAACAAATCAACTGGGTGGATGAGAGTTGTATTTGCTGGTATGGTCTCACTTGTATGAAGAATGATCTTTAAATATACCATCCACCAAAAAAGATGAAAATAATAGAAAAATTGAGCTTCACATTTGTGCAACTTATGACCTCAAAATTCTTCTGTCTCATCTAAGGGCATTACAAAACTTATATTCTTTCGAAGGGAAGCTGTGAAGATTTACAACAAAACACAGAAAACAAAGCAGCATATAAACTTGATCAAGATGCCATCAGACTAGGACAACATCAACTCCAACAACACATACCACCTCTCGTAAGGTGGCTGTATGGACCATCACCTCGTAGTTAAGATGCAACTCCAAGCACGTCTTGAGATCAGTGGAATCTGAAAATGCTGTCCACCCAAACATGCACAGTGCGCCTCAAATCTGCTGTCCATGTTATCAGATAGCTTTTTGAAGCCCTGCGAAAGAACACAAACAAAGTTATAGAAAGCAAAACGAGAGCAATCTAACTTACTAAAACGCATGGTTTGCATGGTGTCAAAGCCGAGACAATACTTGTGGCCGACTTCCAGCTCAGGAACTCCAAAACTCTCCAAATAGAGCTTCACGATCATGGGCGTGTGCTTCCAAATGCTGTATATTACTTCCAGGAATTAGACTTCAACATTGTATAATCACAAGTGTTTTTCAAGATTGAGGGACACAATAACCAAACGCTCCTACTCCTTGGAGTATGGAAACATACCCTTCACAACATTTCTCTGGGTCACCAAAACCCTTACACAAAGCCTTGAAACAATCCTGAAGTAGTTTGCGAGGCCCAGTCAAATGATCTAAAATGCAGAAAATTAGATTCAGTATTAAAATCTGGGCTTTATGAACATGGCCGCAGAAGAACTTATTTGTGTCATAAACACAAATGAGATGAAAACAATCATGAACAAAACTAGACTCAGCTTCTGGAAATTGCCCATTCCCCACTAGAGCCAAAGCAAAAGTTATGCCAGACTCGGTACAAAGTCAGCTTGACAGTGGATACGACCCGTCACACAGTGCATATGGTTGCTTAAGAATTTAAAGCCTTGAGTCACTTAAAGCTACCTTGAAAACTGATTATAATTCACAGGTGTTTCTATGGAACATGATACAATCCACTCAAGACGTCTTTCACTTTTAGTGTGAGCAGACATTCCGTCAACATGGGGAAATGAGCTCTTTGCCCTCCGTCAGTCGGTGGTTTCGGGGAGTGGATTTAAAAAGAACTGTGTAGAGATGTCCGTTCCCCCGCGTGTGTGAGGAATGGAGGTTTGTCCGCTGCTTGCGCTTCGAATCAGGCTTGTGATCCAGAAGCTCAAACGCGCCACGCTCAGGCTTAAAGGTAGATCGTCCATTGTTCTTTGGATCCCACAGATTTAACTTCTTATCAGGAAAGAAGAAGAGGAAGAGCTCCACAGAGCAGAGAATCCAGCCGGCTAGAAGAACACTCAAGGAAATCAAGAGAGAATATGGATTCGAGGTCTGCAAATCAACTGGCAATAGAGATGCTAGCTTTGTTTTGGATCTTACTTGAGGGCCTCTCTCTTATTGACAGAATTCTCCAGCAGCAAAGGCCAGAGCTGCTCTAGCAGAGCGCCAGGAGAAACTCAAGGTAAAGTGGATCTTAGATCTTACACTCTTTTTTAGACTAGGAAGAGAGATTCCAGCCCAGATTCCCACTATCTCACTTTTAAACAACGCTCCAGAGGGTAGAGGACAAGGCCCAAACATTACAGAGCAATGCGGAGAACTTCGCCGGGCTGACGGGAGAGCTGAAGGAGACTGTGGCCTCTCGCAAATGGTGGCAATATTGATCGTTCGTTCCTTAGCTCTTTGTCAAACAAACAAAAAGACTATGCTCGACCGATTTTGATGATCGAGTAGTTCGCGTAGTTCTTTCTGGAACCCACCTCGCTAAAGCAGAGAGAGGAAGGGGCGTGAACGCGCGCTTGTAAATCTCGTTGATCGATTCGCCCGGAAACCGGGTCCGGGGGTTGGGGTGGCTGAAGAAGGTTAAAAACCAGCGGAGAGCGGAAGAAGCGCCGATGTTTGCTCGTAGGTGGCTGTATGCTCGTAATTAAGATGCAACTCCAAGCACGTCTTGAGAATCTAGAGATCAGGGTGGAATAGCCCTGTGAAAGTAAGCAAAGTTATAAAAAGAAAAACGAGAGCAATCCAACTTACTAGTAGAGAAAAACGCATGGTGCCAAGACAAAACTTGTGGCCGACTACTCCAAAACTCTCCAAATAGGGCATCACGATCATGGGCGTGTGCTTCCAAATGCTGTATATTACTTCCAGGAACTAGACTGCAACATTGTATAATCACACGTGTCACCAAAACCCCCACACAAAGGCTTGAAACAATCCTGAAGTAGTTTGCGAAGTAGTATCTGAAATGCAGAAGATTAGATTCAACATGAAAATCTGGGGTTTATGAACATGGCCGCAGAAGAGCTTATTTGTGTCATAACACAAATGAGATGTAAACAATCATGAAGACTCAGCTTCTGAAAATTGCCCATTCCCCTCTAGAGCCAGAGCAAAAGTTATGTCCTCGTCTTACACATTTATATATATATACAAAGTCAGCTCTACAGTGGATACGACCACATCACACTGTGCATATGGTTGCTTAAAAATTTAAAGCCTCGAGTCACATTCAATCATACAAGCAATTGGTTAAAGCTACCATGAAAACTGATTATAATTCACCAGGTGTTTCTATGGAACATGATACAATCCACTCATCATCTTTCACTTTCAGTGTGAGCAGATATTCCGTCAACATGACGGATGTGCTTCTGCCCTCCGTCAGTCAGTGGTTTCGCGGAGTGAATATGCGGTGTGGATTTAAAAAAGAACTGTGTAGAGATGTCCGTCGTCTGTCTCCCTCGCGTGTGTGAGGAATGGAGGTTTGTCCGCTGCTTGCGCTTCGAATCAGGCTTGTGATCCAGAAGCTCAAACGCGCCGCGCTCAGGCTTAAAGGTAGATTGTTTTTTGGATCCCAGAGATTTAGCTGCTTATCAGGAAAGAAGAAGAGGAAAAGCTCCACAGAGCAGAGAATTCAGCCGGCTAGAAGAACACCCAAGGAAATCAAGAGAGAATATGGATTCGAGGTCTGCAAATCAACTGGCAATAGAGATGCTAGCTTTGTTTTGGATCTTACTTGAGGGCCTCTCTCTTATTGACAGGATTCTCCAGCAGCAAAGGCCAGAGCTGCTCTAGCAGAGCGCCAGGAGAAACTCAAGGTAAAGTGGATCTTAGATCTTACACTCTTTTTTAGACTAGGAAGAGAGATTCCGGCCCAGATTCCCACTATCTCACTTTTAAACAACGCTCCAGAGGGTAGAGGACAAGGCCCAAGCACTACACAGCAATTCGGAGAACTTCGCCGCGACAGCGAGAGAGCTGGAGAAGATGATGGCCTCTCGCAAATGGTGGCAAGTTTAGAGAGATTGCTCGTTCGTTCGTTAGCTCTTCGTCAAACAAACAAAAGAACTATGCTCGATCGATTTTGATGATCGAGTAGTTCGCGTAGTTCTTTCAAGCAATGAGAGGGAGGGACGTGGACGCGTGCTTGTAAATCTCGTTGATCGATTCGAAAGTGACAAGATCGGCTTTAGATTTCCCACCATTTTCTGGACTCCATTTTCTTCGCGAGCTCTTCAGCCATTGATGCAAAGTTCTCTGCGTTGTCTTGCATTTCTTCCGTCCTCCGGTTTATGTTCTGTTACCAACGTTAGGCTCTTTGGATTGCAGAAAGATCATGCTCACCTGCAAGCGCTCCTGCCGTTCCATCAATCGATCTCTGGCGTGTGCCGCGGCGCTGCTTGCCTCCTAAACCCCATTCATGCAAAATCGAGTGAGTGAATGAGCTGAAAGAAACTTCTCTGGTAGTTAGTTACCGCGGATCTCTTGTGACCATAGGCTGCCTTGATCTCTTCGGCTGTTCGCATTGTCGGCGTTTTGCTTGATTGTTTAGTCTCCGTTGAGCCACCTTCAAAAAGCATATTTCTCTCCTCGTCCTCGTCCCCTTTGATAGAAGCTTTCTTCTTGCCTGCTAAAAGCAAACGATTGTAAGATTGATTCTTGTACTAGAAAGAAGTACCTTTGTTGAAGCTACTTCTCAACTTTCTCATCACACCGCCCTTTTTTACCGAGCCTTCCGAAGGCGATGGCGATGGCGACTTCAAGTCGTCGTCACCGAGATCGATGTCATCTGCAGAGCCATAGAGTGAGAGAGAAAGAGAGAATTGGAACCTTGACCTTACCAATATCTAACTCAGTTTCTTTGTCAGGACTGTCGGTCTGCCGCTCGGCATTTCGATCATTATGGCGTTCGTTGGAAGAAGACTCTGAACTCGCAGCCGCCTTCAGCCTTTTCACTATACTAGTTCCATGGGAGGCGACCGGTGACACTTGCTTCGAGAAAAGCTTGGGGAGCTCAAGGGCCGTACGCTCCCCGCCCACAGCATTGCCTAGAGAATGCTTTAATTCTTTCATAACTCCGCCAAAAAGATCCTGGATCTGACTTTGCTGTAGAACGAAAGACATTTACATTTACATTTACATCAGTCAGTAAGCCAAGAGAAAAAACAAGCTCTCACCTTCTTCTTGGCTGCTTGAACACTCGCTTTAATGGCTGCTTCTGTTGCTGTGGCAACATCTTTATCGTATAGTAGCGGGTAAGAGCCCGGTAACCTGTTCCAAATGTTTTAGCCATTAAAGAAACTTTCCACTAACACACCTCATGTCGTTTTCATCTGCAACGACTGACATAAACAAAACCTCCTGATCTGCATCAACCTGTCAAAAGACCATTCAGTATGGAGATGATGGAAAATGATAGTCGACATACTGCAGTTACACGTCCATTGGATGCTACAGCAAAAGTTCTGAAGAAGCTTGGACTGCTGCCAAATTCCCAACGTAAAGACTCACTTAGCGAGGTTAATTTGATAACCTCCAACGCTGGTAACGACCTGCTGGCACAAAGAACATTAAAACAATGCATTACAACCCTGGCAACGTTACCGGATTTCAATATCACCGGTATCATATAGAAGAAGAAGACCGGAGCCGTGTATTCCGCTATCAAATACCGATGCCGCGCAGCAAGGCTTTTCAAGTCTTTCTTTTCTAATTGTTGTTCGCATTCCCTGAAACAAAGCATTTGGAACAAAACCTTTGAATTCTTTAGAATAACGAACCTGAAGAACAGATGAAATAGAATACACGCGCAATGAATCTTCAGAGCATAATAGTACGAGGTTGTCAGATCCTGTCCAGTCGTCGTCCTGTTTCACATCCTCCTCTATTTCTTCGTTCCCTTCGGCAGGTTCAATATGGCTACCTGAGCTGTCAGTCTCAATAACAGCCATTACAACGGACCGTTTAGAGGCTTTCCTTGAAGGAGCTCGAGATACTGATTTTACTGACGATCCTGATGGATCTGATTAAGAGGACATACAATTCAGCATCCAGCCAGCTTTTGAAAAAAGGGAGACAGGCGTACCGAGAACATGTAGAGAAATCGCAACGGAAGGATTATTAGGACGACCAGAGCCAATAGTCTTCCCGCTGCTGCCATCAATTGCAGCAATACACGCATCCTTCAGTAACACAAGTACAATAGTGTCTTGTTTGAACGATTTTGGGTCGCGTGCTGGAAGACTTATAAAACAAGACGAGACAATTCCTGAGGGACTCCCACATTTCCCATGGAAACGAACCACGCAAGCTTCGATATCGAACAAGGTAACCTGTTTCAAAAAGCCGATCAGTCGTAAAAACAATAAATGGTTGTGCATACCAATCCATTGTCATCGCCAATTGCAATACAACGACAGTCGGTTCTGATAGTTAAGCTTCTGATTGGTGCTGTGTGGAGGTTTAGAACAGCAAAACACTGAAACCCAGCAGAATACTCTATTTCTCTTTCTGCAGGCGGAAGGTGATTCTGTAAGCTTTGTAACGCAAAAACAAATATTACTTGTCGATGGCTCGTTCTTGCTGATAAAATGGCACGTCCCTTCCCCCGATTCGCCTTGCATTGTATATACAAAAACCTGCGCGTGGTGAAATTCATTTCCATTGGGTAATTCTCCAAGAAAAACTTACAAGACCAGCCTCGTCACCAGCTGCTAGCAGCCCAACCGTTGGACAGAAGTCAATAGCACATGTGGAGGCTAATTCCGATCCTACCAGCTCCTGTACAATGGTTTTCAGCGTTTTGGAGTTACACAAATCATTCGCTTACTCTATTATTCACCGACGCCAAAAAATAGAGACATGGTGTTGAAGCGTCCCAAACGTTGATCAGACCATTTTCATGACCAGTTATGTAGAGACAGGGTGGCGACCTTCTGTCAACAGTAGTAGAGCTGAAGTTTCCGCCACTGACATGCCATCTCATTCCTGATGGAAACGCAGGAGGCACGTAACCCTTCATTAAGCGTGGAATCTGATCCATAAAAAGATTAGGCATACATCATAAAGCAAGAAGAACGAGCCTACCTTCAGTATAATACTCGCAACTATACTTTGATCTGGAATGGCCAACAGTCTCGCACACGTGACTGTAGAAAACGTCAAAGGAAGCTGGAAGGGAACGGGTTGAGCAGGAGGCTTCTCAGCTTTTATAGAGTCGTAGATGTTGGCTTCCTCATACACATCCAAAGAACCAGGTGATGAAAGCACCAACATCGCTCCGTTCCCGATACTCGGGCCACTAGGCAATATAATCACGTCCGCAAAAGGTCCACGAAGTGGGAGTTGCATTTGACAAGTAGGATCTGTTACAGGTAAGACCTGCAAGAAAGGAAGATAAGAAAGATGCAGCAGGCACAAAATGTAAAGACAAACCGTCACAACTTCCGCCATTCCCATTTCCTGTCCTCCAAACACGTAAAGGTAACCACTAGGCCCCTTGTCACTCTTGACAGAAGTAGACCACCTCATCACCACGACCGGCATTCGAAATTCCTCCGAAGATAAAATGATCTTGAGAACTGGTGAGCTCGAAACGTCTGGTTTTTCTGCTTTTCCCTTGGGATTGACAGGGATGTTCCACAACCAGATATCACCATCTGTGTAGCCGCAAGCGAGTAGCGTGCCAGACGGGCATGCCCAGCACGCACAGCACGGTTCCTTCTCTTCCTCGTCACTACCTGAAGATTTCCCCCCAGAAAGTTTTCTCTGCTGATCTTCGGTTCCTCCGCGGATGGCAAGGACTTGAGCTTCATGAAGTCCCCACAATACAATAACACCATTCCCATAGACAATAACAACCCTGGAAAAAGAAAAATCAGGACGATATCAGTCACAGAAACAACCAGAAACCACTAGTTTTTTTTTCATTTCTCTTGCCTGCTATGAACAGCATCGGGTTGAGGAAGAATGCTCACCACCGACGGTGCACTTGAGTCGTCCGTATCTATCAATCCACCTGCAATCGAATAGATAATAAAGAACTGCTAAAACATTTTCGCTAGAAACGTACTTAATGTCAAATGGGCAGGAACTGTGTATTGCATCTGGACAAAACAACGATCCTCGTTGTTGAAATGGAGTACAGAAACCTGCCCGGTTTCATCTCCAACGTACCTGAAAGAACATATAAACAACACCAAGTTAACACAACATGAGATACCAGACAAAAAACTCATACATAAATGCTGTTGCCTGAATAACTGCGAACGCACTGATGTCAGCTTCCCACGTTTTAGACGAGACAAGCTCCTTTGTACTCAAGTCCCAAACCTGTCCAAATACCAACGAAGATCTCTCTCAAGAACAGCAAGAAAGGTAACGAAGAAAATCCAAAGCTACCTCGATTTCGTTGCGAGTTGTGACATGGATCAATCGTCCTTCATTGTTAACGAACTGTGAAAAGAGACATGGCTAAACAACACACTCAAATAAACTACCTTACCTCGAGATATTTACAAGGCGCATTCGCGGGCGATTTGAAAAGAACTTCAACTCCTTCACGGCCAAAGATTTTGATCCGTCCATCCCTGTGCCAAATAAAATCCGAGAAGACTAACGAAAGAGATCGCTTGCATGCTGACAAACCTGGAGGCAATTGCCAATAAACGCTGGCCGGGCTCATACGCGAGGACAGAGGCCGAGGCAGGAATCCCGTGATGAACAGTCAGTCTCAGATCCACATGCGTGGGCTTGAGACTATTCACTGATTTCGGGGACGATGCCTGTAATGCAGATTCCAATCAAACATTGCCTCGATCCGGGAGGCTGGAGCTTACCTCGCCGCTGCCACTGGATTTCTGCTGGATCACGCGCTTAAACATCGCTGCTACGAATCAGGCACCATCACCTGAGCCGGTCCATCTTGATTTCACGGGCAATGCGGCCCTGCTGCCACAAAACCCTAGCCCCGGATCGGCGAGCGATCCAACGCGCGATATTACCACGCAGATCGATGCGCGCAGCGACGAGATCCAGCGCGATCAGCAGGAGGAGGCGCCAGAGCGGATTTGGGGCGAAGAGAGCACCACAATGAACGAGGAAATGAAGAGAAATGTCGACGGCGTCCATTGGGGAGGCCAAGGCTAAAAGACCTAAGACTTACGAAATTTGGGCCATATGGTCCATTCAACTATTGTAC